CCACACACATCTCTGTTCCACCCAGGCACTGAATCCCCTGTCATGGCCTTCTGCTCCTCAGCCCCATGACTGCCTCCCTGGCTCCCCAGTTCTTTGCAAGGCACCACTTGTAAGTCCAACACTGTAGCTGATAAGGCTTGACATTTCTGCTGGCTATTCTTAGCAGAACTAGTAGAGGATATGCCAAATTATGTTAAGTGATATGTGGAAATGTCCAAGCAGACTGTCTGGGAGAAGTCATCAGGCCGTACGTGTGTGTGCCATGCAGAGTTTATGGAGACTGTGGTTCCTTAACTAGGGGGAGCTGAAAAAGGGGGAGATGCTGAGGGTTCAATTTCAAAAATGGAGTATTTTTAAATGTTTCCTCTGCCAAGGGCAATGTATAATAATAATTAATAATAATTTGTATTCCCATAGCACCTAGGAGCCCCAGTCATGGACTTAGAGCCCCGTTGTGCTAGGAACTGAACAAACTCAGAACAGTCTCTGCCCCAAGGAGCTTACAATCTAAGTATAAGACAAAAGACAACCAATGGGTACAGACGGATGGGTGAGTACAAGGAAACAATGAGTCAATATTGGGGGTGGGATTAGTTAGGAGGGGATCAGCTAAATGGAAAGAGAAGGGAAGGGAAGGGGGTGAGGTGGACAGGGCAGGGGAGAAGATGGTAAGTAGAGCATGTGTGGAATGAAGCTGAGATGAAGAGACTGGAGGGAGGAGAGAGGGAAGGTTGGAGCAAATAGCCAGTCAGCATAGGGCAGAGAAAGAGAACACTCAACAGTTTTGACTGAAGGTGAAAAAGGTACCTGCTTCTGTGGCTACTGGCTAGAGTTTGGCTGGCATCTCTTCAGAGTTCTCTCCCAAGGCCATGTGGTTTGGCGGGGGGGAGGGCGGGAGAAGGGAGGCACCGCCTGGATCCCAGAAACAAACAAACAAAAAACTAATAGAACATTCAGTTGTCCTAGGAAGAGTTAATGTGTCAGTTTTGGAGGCGCATTTCCGCCACAAAAGTGTGAAAAACAAGGATTTTATTCCCGAGTCAAGTCCAAGTCTGAGCACAACCTTACCTATGGAGTTGTTGTCTGTGTGTCAGGCTGTGTAGTATTGAACAGATTGTGCTGTTTATTTTAAAACAACCTCCACTCTCTTAGCGTGGAAGGACCCTGCCATTCATTGTCACAATGATAGCTGATGTTTTGGGATGCTTTTAAAGACATGCACTTGTAACAGCAGCAGGAGTTATACACACATACACACCTGCCCCCACCCCTTAAACATTATAATGACCACAGAAAGCTCCAGCATGGAATTTTCATTGCTTGAAGTTGGCGGGACGTTGTTCTGTTAGGGGAATGAAATAAAAGCTAATTAAATGACAAAAACTCTCTTAGCTTATTATAATAAGCACAAGCCACTAAATAATTGCCATTTGGAGCCATATATAATCACAATACACAAGATCTCTGGGGGGGAAATATTAAAAACAAAAAACCCTTCAAATATACATAATGTATATTGTGCAAGTTACATGCTACCTGACTAAACTCTGATTTGGGAAATAAAATTGACTCAGATACTAAGGCATTTAATGTCTCTTTCCCTTAACTATAGATTGATCCAAAAATAGCTGTCCATGTTGACATGTAGCATAGGTGAGGGCAAGTACTCAAGAACTAGGACATGATCATTCAAAACAATGCACTGTTATGTCAACAGGACAATACAAGAAAAATTGTACCTTGGGAGCTGTCCATTTTGCTGCAGATCCTAATACCTATTCCAGTCAGCATTTCAGACACAAGGTTCAACTAATGTTACTAACCTGGAAAACTCAGAGGAACGCTCCAGTCAGAGTGGATTTTTGTTGTTTCCATGGCCCCCATTACTGCAGGATATGAGCACTTCATAATCTTTGATGTTTTTATCCTGACAATACCCCTGTGAGATAGGAAAGTACTATTATCCCCATCTGACAGATAAGAAACTGAGAGACAAAGGCCTAGATCCTCAAAGGTATTTAGTCTCTGAATACCTTTGAGGATCTTGACTTAATTGACTTGTCGTAAATCACCCAGGAAGTCTGTAGCAAAACAGGGAACAGAATTGGGTTTCCTTAATCCTAGGCTAGCTCCCTAACTGCTGCAACATCCTTCCAACTGGTGAGTGTCTCAACATGAGGAACTCAATTTTGTCCAGCCTGGGCCTACTTGAATCATCTAGAGCATTCTTAGTCGGGGGAGCCAACCTCCCTCATCTTAGTCTGAAACAGCCAAAGCCTGTTGACCTTCAGGGCATGCTACAAAGTACATTTTTTGAAGGGAGCTTTTGGGGGAGAGAGATAGTCTGGGAAGTGGGGTGACATACTGCAATCTGCATCGTAGAGTCTATTTAATTATGGTTATACTTTATGGGGTTGCTTTACTGTTCTTTAGTGCCCATGTTTTCCAGCAATTGTCAGGGCCACAGTGTGTGGCTCTTAAACATTTGATTTCAGAAACAGTTAAGATTATGCCTATATTTAGATTTATAAGACTCACAGAGAATTGCCTTCCTCGCCCTCCACCAGTGGAGAAAATTAGGGTGAACTGTTTGGTAGCACTTCAATATTTGTTTTAAAGGCAATAAGCCATATTAGCATTCCAGATGCATTTCAGCAATGTTGATCCTACTTGCTGAACTAGTGTTTTATGTAATTTTTGTGCTGCTGCCATCTAGTGGTGCCGGAGTGCTGCCCCTTGAAAAGTGTCACCCCAAGCACATACTTGCGACGCTGGTGCCTAGAGCCGGCCCTGATTCCCCTATAAACAGCAAAGTGAAGAAAAAATGCTATTTACTGCACCCTGAAGATTTCAAGAGTTCCCTAAGGTTGCTATCATAAAGCAGCCAGAATTATAACACTCTTGTGTACCAGGGGCTAGATTTTCTAGTCTAGAGAGCTGCACTCAGTGAGGGGAAAGAGGTGAAAGGGAAGGTGGCTTTATGCCGTCTTTGGGTTCCCTCAATCCTGGGGCAGGCAAGAGGCCACTTTGGTCCCTACAGCCTCAGGGCTGCTCTAAGCTGTGCCAAGCTACCTGTTGCCCCAAAGGGACTGACTGTCTGGCAATAGGATTACCAGGACATAGAGAGCTCCCCCCTTTCTCCCAGGAATGCCCCTACACCAGGAACTGCATCAGCTCTAGATCATGGAGGAGAAATCATCAGCTGACCAGTTAAGCTGGCTTCGCAGGTTTTTGAAAAGCCAGAGGAGGACAAAAGAGGCACCATAGGGCTGAGAATCCAGCCTCAGGCTTTTAACGCTGTTGGAGCGAAACACTGTGCTGGGAGAGTAAACTTGGGAACAATTTTTGCTAGGTTGATCCCACAGCCTGTGCGCTAAAGAACTGTTTGCCATTTGACAAACAGTGACACCTTTTGCCAGTTCTGATATTTTTCCACAGCAGGTAAGCAAGCATAGAAACTCACCATGACCTTCCAAGACCTTTGACAGCAATGAAGCTGCACTGTGATAACCTGTTGAGATAGTTGACCCCTCTCAGAAGGGAAAATTCTGCTGGGAGGCTGCATGAAGCAGCATTGTTGCTATCAGTTACATCATGCCTGGCACTGGTGGGGTTCCTTCCAATGACTGAGGGACCTCTGACCATAGGATTCATAGAGGGACAAAGGCAGAAGGTGGCAGAAGGGGTACAATGTATAATCCAAGATCTTTAAGAAAAATCAGTGATGACTTTCAGTCCCTGCAGTCTGTTAACTTTCATTCACAAGACCATTTTTACATGGCAAAGGACTAGAAACATAATTTAGCAACACTGAGATTAGCCCTGATATTTTGAAGCTTCAGAAAATTAGCTGTTGGCTTTGCATGCTAATGGCTATTTTACACTGCACTGGCACTAGTTGCTAGAGGCAAGGTGATTTATGAGTCCCTTTTAAACAGAACATCTAAAGTTTCTTGTTGGTCATTTCATGCATATCAGAACATGATGAGTTCTCATGTTGGCAAACCCTTTATTTGTGCTGCTGTTGGCATTTTCCTAGAATGGCAGCAGTGAGAGTCTATGCAGGGACAGGACCTATTGTTATTATTTGAATTGTGGTTGATCTAATGGTGCCATTCAAGAATCAGACCTCCATTTTTCTAGGCATTGTGCACACAGGGGCAGTTACTTGATACTTCATGACTGGCAAGAGGGATGTCTGATGTGCAGGCACTGACTTTCAGCCCCCTTTCTCCCTCCCCCCATTTGCTAATTTACAATGGGTCTATCCCACATTGGTGTGAAGTATTTTCTGACCACAGGCCTTTACCAGTGTGTAGCAAACGCTGTTGTTTCTCTCTCCTTCACATTTTGCCAGCCTGGATCAGCCCTCTCAACCCTGGCCCAGCGAGAAGCAAAATCTTCCCTGGTTTCTCGCACCCATCAGATCCAGCTCATCGGAGCAGAAACGAGAGACTTGCTGGGGGCAGCAGTTTTAGGGGGTAGCAGGTAAGAAGTCACACTTCCCGGCCCAGAGAGCAGGCACATGGAGATGGGTCATCCTAATGAGCGAAGAGAAACAGCCCCCTCCCTCCTTCCTGCATAGGAGATGAGAGAAGTGGCAGCAGCATTCCCCAAGGGGTGAGAGGGAAGCACCAGCCACTTGCTTGCTGGTCCAGAGCTGCAGCAGCTGGGACTAGCAGTTTCCCATGGGGGAAATTATGAGACGGGGGGGTGAAGTGCCTGGGGGCCTGGTGAAGTTCGCTGGGCTGGAGGGAGGAGGCAGATCCCGAGGGGGCTGCAGCCCTGAGCTGGGCTAGCGAGCGGTGTGGGGGCAGAGGCTGGGAAGAGCTGCTGGCGCTCCCCGGCCCGGAGGAGGGGGCGGTCGCAGGGAGGCTGCGAGGGGCTGGAGCTGGTGCCGGTTGCTCTCTGGACTGCAGGGGGTGCGGGGTCCCCTCTCCGCGTTGCCTGCCCAGCCTCAGCCGGCTCGGAGGCGGCAGCCAAGCAGCGCGGTCCTCGCCATGCTGGCGGCAGCTGGGAGCCGCGTCTGCCTGGGCCGGCTCCTGGCCGAAGGGCAGCTGCACGCCCCCCTGCTCCGGCCGGCAGCCCGTGGGATCGCGGCCACTGCAGCTTCCTCCAGCAGCGCCCACAACCGAAGCCCAGGGGCCATCAGCTCGGGTGAGTAAACGGGGAGCCCGGGGCTCCCCTGTGCTGTGACTCACAGAGACCCTCTCTCCGGCTGCAGGCTGCTTGCACCCGCTACGCTGCGCCCTGCCCCAGGGCCCTGGCAAGCACCGGGGCTCCCCGCTGGGACGTGTCCTAGCGGGGCGTTTGCAGCTCTGCCCAGCGCTCCGGATCTCCCTTCTGCTTCAGGCCAGTAAAGGGGGGGGGTGGGAGAGAGAGAATAAACGCTGGAACTGCCTCGATCCAGCCAACGTTTGGACCCAAGCCCCCAAATTGTACCCTTAACACAGAGAACAAAGCTACTTCTCCCCTCCCCCCAAATTAAACCACCCTCCGGCCTGCCCCAGAAGGAGAGGGGCTACCTTTTGATGATGGAGTAGTAGAGGCATTTGTTCTCGATTTTGAGGGCAACATTTATGGAGTTGGGGCCAAAACTTGCCAAGATGCAGCAGCTTGATCTGAGCATTTAAGGCAGTGGTAGTGGGATCCCAAGTGGTTCAGGAGCCAAATTGGCGATCAACATTACCCAAAAGAGCCAGAGTAGTGTGAATTCATTGGTTCATTTACAGCCCCGAGCAAAATGACTAAGCAAGTATTTTACAATTGGTTAATAACACATTAAAAGCATCCTGATTGGTTAATAATTAAATCACATTGTTTTTTAATATCATGTCCTGCAAAAAACCACAAGAAACACATTGAAGAGCCACTTGTGGCTCCCGAGCCTCAGTCTGAATATCTAGTTTAAGGTGCTGATACAGTAGGATGCCACTGGGGCTGGATTTTTAAGATGCAGCAGAAACAGCTGAACATGTTCTCATGTTAAACTGTGGAATTTGGGTGACTAGGGCCAAAGTCTTGCAGGATCCAGCTACCAGATCCCGGTTCAAGCAGCTGTCATACACCCAGGCTGAATTAACATCTGGATGGTTTTGCTGGAATGGAAGCAGCTAAACTTGTTCTCTGATGAGGCTTTAGCATTGGGGGTGGGGTTAAAAATTGGCTGGAGCCAGGTGTGGAAATGAGGTTTTACAATACTCATGTGTCATGGTGCAGCAGGGTTTAAATTTTTGAGGTGCAATAGGAGCAGGAAGACTTGTTCTTTAGGTTGATGGTACAATTCAGGCACATGGGTACAACAATCAGCAGATTCCAGGTAGATCCAATTTCTACCCAGATCGACAAGGGTGACCCAAAATGAGAGAGAGAAGCTTTTCAGCTCCACTGAGCTCTTCTTCCACTCTCTTTCAGCAACAGAAGTTGGTACAGTAAAAGACATTACCTCACCCATTTTGTCTCTCTAGTATCCTGGGACCATCTTGGCCACACCACCACTGCAAACATAGAGAACATAGGTGATTTGAGGTACAAGAAAGGTTACTCAACAGTAAAGGTTAAGGTCTTTACCAGAACAAAAAAAGCCCTGAACCCAGTAACAGAGATGGACCATGGCTAGGGACACTCCCCACCAATCCCATTACCTCTCCAGTGCACAAAGTGATGAGGGGCTTTTCTCTGGTTCATCTTTCAGCTGAGAAGATGTACAAAGTACCTGGTAGTTACAAACCTTCCAACTTTGACAAAAAAATCCTCATGTGGACAGGACGCTTCAAGACTGAAGAAGAGATTCCCTCAAGGATCCCGTAAGTGCATCATTGGTTCCTACTGAGGCTTACTGGGCTGAAAAGACGGTTCCTCCTTTTCAAACTGCCCCAAAAGTTTGAACCTGTCAACGTTTTACAACATTTGAAAGGTCAATGAAAAATTAGGAGACAGACATAAGGGACGGGGAGATGCTGTGCCCCCTCTTCCTCTGCTTCCATATCACCTCCTCTCTCCCACCCACTGGCTTCTAGTCTCACTATTAGGTCCCAGCTCCATTTGCACCCCAGGTTGCCATTGTATCCTCACTTGCTGGGAGTCAGGTGGCTGCTGAGGGATAGAATCTTGTATCCTATTGTGGTGGATTCCTGAGACAGAACTGGCTCCTTCACTGAGCAGCCCCTTATTTGTGGCCAGAAGCTTATTAGCGGCTCATGACAGAATTTCCAAGAGAAGCCAAGCACATACTATCAAAACAGTTAATACGTCCAAACAAGGCTAGGTGCAATCAATCAATGAGACAAGGGTGTTAAACCTTCAATATATGATCTCTGAAATTTGGAAAACTCAAAACGCTAAAATATAAGCCAATGGCTAAAAGTTTTCCAGATCTCTCCCTCCCCAAGTTTCCCTTGAGGATTTCAGGTATTTTTAGATGGTTTTACAGTTTACAGTTGCTCATCATCATCATCAGAAGTAAACAGAACTATGCCCCTGAGCAAGATAGACAGGATTTGGCCCTAAGTGCAGTGGTGGTTTGAGCTTTGGTTGTATTTACAGACCAACTTGTTTATTTGCTTGGTTTATCTAATGTGTAATCAGAGAGAGACTGTATCAGTAAATGGTATTTTCTGTTTACGGATTACATAAACAAAATAAATCTTCTAACTTGTTTGATGTCATCATTTAGTGATCATCCATTCCATACACTTTATTACAAGGCAAGGAAGTATTTGAGAAAGAGGGCGGGAGGAGAGATAGAAGCATGTACTTACTGCCTGTTAAAAAAATACTGTACTTTAAAAGAGGTATTTCTAGGACAATACTGAATACCCTGAGAGTAAGTCTTGATGCCAAAATATTGCTCCCCCACTAACCACCACCAGCGCAGTTCATGTCACTGACAATTCTTCTCCCTTTTCCCTCCCTAAGTAGTTAAATATAAATGTGAAGTTCATATAACATTAGTTAATGTTCATTCCTCAGCCTCATTGATACAAAATGTAACTCATCCACAGAACAACTGTACTTTTTATCATCAACCTTCATCCCTAGTTGGCCATATATAATATATTGGACTTTATTGAGAGACAGTTTCAAGGATGACTCCAGGATGTTTCCTTTGTTCCCAAGTTTCATTCCTACTGCAGCTGAGAAAATAAGCAAGAGCATCTCTGCAAGCAACAATAGCCCCAACTTTTGTCTAATATTAATCCCATGGCTGTTCCCTACTCATCTCACTCTTGTCAGAATTTCCTCCCTTACTGAGAAATCCTGACCTCTTGAAGTCAATGGCAAAACTTCCGTGACTTCAACAGGGACAAAAATTCACACTCAGTCTTCAGTACAAGAGAGTTATCCTTTAGAGAGAAATAGGAGAGCAATGTAATATGTATTTTTGGAAGATTCAAATGTAAAGCAATTAAAAACAAAAATGATTAGCTATCAAAATGGCCTTTTGCAATGGCAAAGCAAATGTTACATGTGAGTAAAATCTGCTCCTGTAAGATATTTGGCATTAAGGACCAAATCCTGCAGTCCTTATTCAAGATTTGCTTAAACAAATCTCCACTAATTTCAGTAGAAGTTTGGCTTGAGTAAGGATTGTGGGATACAGTCCTTAATGAAAGACTACAGAAAACCATAATTAGATCTGTTTCCTTGAAACAGTGGCAGAAAGCAGGTAGGAATTGGGATTCTGCTTCAGAACAGTTCAATTAGTGCATTGTGAAATATGATTAAGGCATGAAGGCAAACAAGTAATGCATTTATATTTGGCTTCTGCTGCTCCAAATGGATCCTAGATTAATAGTTTTATGTGCTAGTCTGGTTTTGATCTCATACCTAATGTGTTTAGCATTATGAAATACAGCTACAGTATCCTCACTGATGATCAAACCTGCAAGCCCTGACAACCCCCTTGGAGGTGCACTACACCTTCAACTCATAACCCTCATTTACAGTAAGCTCAGTTGCTTGTAAGATCTGCCATTATGTATGGTGTTAAGTTTTTATGGGCTGAAGGGAAGCACTGCAGGCCCCACAATTTCACTATACCCTTTCCCTTTTAAAATTGTTCTATGTTAAGGTAGATTTTGCAGAGCTTGTTACCAAATGCTTTGTCTGCTAGTAATGCTGTCAGGTTCTCGTGTTTGTGCACTTCACAGGGTTATTTTTTGGAGGGAAGGTGTAAAATTGTAGTCTAAGCTCATTAGATGTAGTTTTAAAAGTCTCTCTTTTCATATGGGATGCCTTTTAGAATGTATTTTTTAAAAAAATGAAGAGCCAATTAAAACTAAACTGAATTTTAAAAGACCATTTAATGCAAAAAGTGAACAGATGAAATTGGATGGTTTAAACACAGCAAATCCTGCATCGTGACAAGGGGTTAGACTAAATCACAGGTTCTCAAACTGGGGGGTAGGGATGTATTCTGGGGGATGGGGGGCATGAGAAGCTTTAGGAAAGTGGCAGCTGCTGGATGGGCACCCAGTTCTGAAGGCAGCGCTGTGGCCAGCAGCAGCAAAGTAGTAAGGGTGGCAATACCATACCATGCCACACCTGTGCTGCTGGCAATGGCGTTGCTTTGAGAGCTGGGTGCCTGGCCAGCAGCCGCCACTCTCCGCTCTGCCTTCAAAGCAGGGTGGCAGTATATGCACTTGTGTGGCAGGAGGTGGGAGAGAAGTGGCATAAACTACTACAGACAAAGAAGGGGGCACGATCAAATAAGTTTGAGAACCACTGGGCTAGATGACACTTGCAGTCCTTTCTAACCCTATGATTCCCGATCCTGCAGATGCAAGGGTAATCTTTAGAATACTGTTTCCAGGCCTCGTATCCAGCAGGCAAAAGGGTGAAATCAAACTTGCGAGACCATTTGTGTGTGGTTTGGAGAGATTCTCTGTTTTTCTGCTTCCCAGCATGTGTTTAGTGCATGGTCCACTAGTTGTTCCCAATTATTTCAGGAACTAGAAAGCAGAGAAAGCTAAAATCAGGAATGCACACACTGAGAACAAGGAGAGAATCAGGAAGTGATGGGGGAGATCTGAAGCAGGGGATGGGATTGTTGAAAACCAGGATAAGGAGGGAAGAGGGTGTTGGGTTTTTTGGTAGGTAAAAAGCTGTATTTGAATGTAAGTGTGGCAAACACCTTTCAAGGAAAGACCTGTCTATGCTCTATGGAGTCAACAAATCACACTACCTCTGTCATGGCCAGCACGATGATCTGCTCTTTTTTAGGCATGCAAAACTGAAAGCATGCAAATATTGCCTGTGCTAATTTAATACCAAAATTACCCTTTTAAAAATAAACGGGTAATGCATAAAACTAAAACCCATGATGGTGTGAAACTGATCAGTTTTATTAACATAACCAAATATGTGAAATCCCAGATCTATAGTAGATTGGATACAGTCAAAACTTCAAGCAGTTTTTGAAGTGCTGTTTAGGTATTACAATTAATACATGCATCTATTTCGGAACAGTCAAGAGAACTCCTCACATCAAGCAATGTCAGTTCCCTTCTAACAGAGTCCTTTCATATATGTGGAAGTATTTGAAATTCACCACATCACTACTGACCAGTAACTTTAAATGTGGTTTATGCCCTGCTTATCTCAAGCATTGCAAGTAGTTATGGGAAAGATCAAGAATCTCAAATCCATCTTGCATTGTTTACAACTAGAGATGGATTAGGTTCTACTGTGCAAAACAGTCAACAGTTAGACAATGCCAAGTAATAAATGCCAAGCCCACAATGGTCACATATTAGCAGCTGGAAGTTTATTCCTAGCTATAGGGTATTTAATTTCTGTTAAAAAAAAAAATCAACCAAAGTTATATCTGTGGTGTGCTGAACTAACTTCTTGATGTTTCCTGCTAATTTTGTTCAATGCAATTTTAATTGTAGGCCAGAAATGCTGGACATTGCAAGAAACAAAGCTCGGGTAAAAGCCTGTTATCTAATGATTGGACTCACAATTATCGCCTGCTTTGCTGTGATTGCATCAGCTAGAAGGGTGGGTATATTGCCATGTATTTTTAAAAAACAAGGTGATAAGTTCCATTAATATTTACAAGAGATATATAGATCTCTCTCTCTCTCTCTCTCTATATATATATAGATGGATACAGTATATAAATTGTTGCTACTGAGAAATTTAAATCAAATGTATGTATTTTAGTTAATACTTCTCCCTCCACAAACCTGTATTCATAAAGCACGAGATAAACATTAGCTACTACCATGATGCAAGGTTTTTCTTAAGTGTAATTTGGTGATTCACAGGACACTACTCTTAAGCTGATGTTTTATTTTTGCAGGCTGAACACCATGAGTCCCTAACAAGCTGGAACCTAGCAAAGAAAGCCAAGTGGCGTGAAGAGGCTGCAGTATCAGCAGAGTTTAAGACTAAATAATATTTCTATTAAAAGCTGTGGATTTGCTAGTAGGAGCAAACACCACAAAAAAACAAACAAATGTTATTTGGCATAATTAGTGACTGTAACTAGTTAGCAGACTGCTATGTTAAATATCAACACATTGGAGCCCAACAATGTTGCACTCAAAAAAATGTTGGGAACGAAGGGAATAGGGTGTCTTTTTCTACATTACACAGAGGTATTTTCAGTACTTGCAGCAGATGACCAAGGTCAGTTCAAATCTTTAGAAAGTTCTAATAATTCCAGTTTCAAGAGACTATTTTTTTTGCCTCAATTTGATAAAAAAATATGTAATTGTCCACAAAGACAACACATACATCACCTACCCTGTCCTGAAATCTCTTCCTGCTAGATTTGATTCTGGACATTTTTCTATCGACACAAAATTATATTACTGACAAGAACCACCATTTGAAAACTGTTATATATTAAAGAAATTAAAGCATACTAAAAAAATTGTGCAAGCCACAAATCATTTAAATACTAGGGAAGCCAGTGACTATGTAGTTGGAAAAATTAATAGCATCCCTACAGTATCTCTGTTGAATCTCGTTTACTAGACCAGGCTGAACTGACACAGTTTACTTATACAGTGTTGTAGCTGTGTCAGTACCAGATATTAGAGAGACAGGGTGGGAGGGGTAATCTCTTTTATTGGACCAACCTCAAAAGCTTGTCTCTCCCACCAACAGAAGTTGATCCAATAAAAGCTATTACCTCACCCACCTTGTCTCACTAAAGTTTATACCTCACCCACGTTGTCTTGCTAAAGTTTACTTAGTTCTTTTGCAAATAAAACACAATAAGCAGCATTTTAGTGTCTATAGACTTTTCCTCTGAAAATTCTTGGGAACTCCCATTAATTTTGCAAATGAAAAAAGGACGGAGGATGGTGATGGTCAGAGGCATGGGATGCTTAGGGAGGAGATATTTTCAAGGCTAGTTTTAAAAGTCACTTCATGCAATATTTTGTTTAACCCCTCTCCATAAAGCTGATTTTTCTAGCATGGCACACTATTATGTAGCATGGAAGTCAGCCACAGTTTTTACTGAATTCAGCTCTTACATTAGTATAGAGATTGTATTTATATTTGCTATTTTCTAAGAATCAGGACTAATTTTAGAATACTAATGAATACACTCACCACTGTAAAATAGCTTTTATTAGTTTTTGTATAGTATTCTGAATTGAAACATTCCATAATATTGCATACTTTTCACGTGTTGGTTTGTAGAGATACACAATAATGGGCCTCCAGTCTGGATTAAAAGATGCACTATCACTCTACTTAAAGTCAATATAGGCATTTTAGATTCATACATTACATAAAACCATAATGCCATGAATGAGAATGAAAAATTTCTCATTTAAGATTTCAATTAACCTTTGCACTGGTTTCGTGCTAAGCAGCAGGCATTTTACCCTGCATATCAATTTGAACTTTAAAAAAAAGTCTCACTTACAAAAATTAAATCATAAGATTGAAGACAAAAACCCAACTGAGATAACTGACCATGGAGGAAAAAGGATAGTGCATCTTTTACACATAGACCCAGTAGAAATCATTTTTCCAAACTTGTTCTACAGTAAAGTTATTTCTGCACCAACATTATTACTATTTTTTGTTTTCTTCTTCTGATTGCTGCTAGCAATAGTGTTTAAAGGAAATACTACAAAATTAAACAGCAGTATGAACAAAGTTCTCAAAGACAGAAAGTGCTATGATAAAAATTCAGTAGAAAATTAGTTATGATTTAGTGTCAAACAGTTTATGAAACTAAAACAGATGTGGCATATTTGCATAGATTAACTTGTCAGAATTCAAATTCAAACAGAACAAATGGTACGCTATTTTGAAAAACACTTGTTCTTTGGAACAAGCTGCATAACTAAAGGGACACTTTAGTACTTTGTCTATTATTTAAACAAAACCCCCAAACTTGTAATAGCCTTTTGGATAAAACCAGTATGGAAAAAAAATCTAGTTAGCAAACACAGCCCCTGCTCAATCCCCTACTCCTAAATGCTTTCCACAGCAGAGATGATTTTTTTTCTGTCAGCGTCATTGTTTTCCTAAGCATCACTGATGCCATCAGTGTCAGTTCTGACAACAGGTTTTGTTAACTTGTGAAAACATTCTTATTCCATGATCATTCATTAACAATAGCTATTTAAAAAAATAGTGTTCCCAGTGAGACTGGTGGATTTTAGATATACACACACATAGCAACATGATAGGATAATGCCAGATTTAACAATTTTAGGATTAACCAAATGTTGAGATTAAATAACTAGTGTCCCTTTCAGTAACCAAAGTCCACCAATTTTAGTTCTTATTTACACTAAAAGCACTACTTTGAATATACCAGAGGCATGAATTTGTATTTACATACATAAAGTGCAGTCACTTTAACTACTCAGACATACACAATATATCCACAAAAATGAAGTAATCCTCTCAAATAGTATAATACTTGAAATCCCCCCCCCGTTTCCTCCATTTACAAGTCTTAATTAGGGTTGTTGTTTTTTTAAGTTTAGATTTGGCTTAACTGAAGAGTCTTATAAATGTAGTGTCTACGGGGTCCTCAAAATAAAAGCAGGCACAGCTGGCTTATGTAATATCAAAACAATGTTTGCAAGAAACAGTGGAATACCCTGTTACCTGAATACTTATATGATTATTCTTGCACTAAAAGAACAGTGAAAATCATCATAATTTAACCGGTAATCCTGTAAATTTCCAATATTATTACCCTGAACTTTAAAGAGACGATGCAAAAAATGCCAGTATAGTAAAGTCTCCAACTATCATAAAAAAGGACACAAATACAATTCTCAAACATAAGAAAAATTTGGCTCAGCATTGTGCACAGTATTCAAACCTGCTGTATATTATACAAATCTAGGTTTAAAGTGTTTGCTAAATCTTTCATTATACAGAATTTGCAAAGTAACCACACTCCTATATTCACTCCTTTCCTCATAACATACCTTTTATTTCCAGGAGAAAAATTTCAAATGAGGATGAATTTTTTGAATTGCATCTTGCTACTTTAAATATATTAATAGTCACAACTGACTATTAATTTTATAAAATCTGATTCAATTCTCACCTTGAAACTACTACACAATATATAGTGCTTTAACAGTCTCCAAGCGAAACACATTATGAATTTTAACTGAAAACAGTATTTGCACATTTTATAAACAAGTTTAAATCCAGAACACAGTATATAAATGATACCATGCTCTAATTTGGATTTCTCAGCGTATCAACATTTTGTTTAGTGACAAGCACACTACCATGGGAAGAGTGATTTTAACTGTTGAAATTTCAACTATTGTACATGGTTCAAATAGTTTCATAGCTCAAAGAAGCTTTCACTATTATTTCAACACAATATTTGACTAATATATTTAACCACAATTATACATTTTCATTAATCCAAATTCAGACTGGCTACTGGTAAGTGAGATCAAGCAGTGTGGTATAGACATTTTGAATATACAAAAAAATCTAATGTAGATTTTCAAAGCATACAGAAGAATTGTTTCAAATTCTTAGATATATTTCTTTTGGCGGGTAGTAGCAACCAGACATTAAGTGTTTTAGAAATTAAATATTTAGCAGACATCTTCAGATTCATTTTGGTGTTCATATACTTAATATTTACAACAAAGCAAACCTTTTTCCTTCAATCAAATGGAAAAGAGATTGTTTTCCCCCAGTTGCAGCAACACTATGGATTATAACAGGGCACATTTCTACAGCCTTGTCTAAAATAAAGAAAATGGAGACATTTGACTTAAAAAAAAAATTCAAAAAGTGGTAGCATATTTGGTTAAAAATACAATACGTACATACAGTCTAAACTTTGTTTAAATAAGTAAATGTTTCAAGAAAGGCAAGTATTGCAAGATTTGTCAAACTTTTATATTGTTACCACATTTTAATATGGAGATGGTTTATGTGACTATCTCCCCTATCATTTACAACTGCGCAAATTACCTCCTCTCTCATTTACAATTACAACATCCCTGTGGCAAACTTCAGCAATTGCTTACACAGCAAAGTATTTTATTTGTAGCTTACCTTTAATGCTGTTTAGCAGCTTGAAATAAGGAGCCAGCATCACATGACCAGCCAGCTCGCTGATTACAACTTGAAAACCACATAATGCAGAACAGCTTTTTTGTCACATATTCAAAGCTACATCTGGTATTTAAACAGTATATACTTAAACAAAAATCTGCATTATGCTTTTAAATGTTTTATAAATATATTTCACTGGTCTATGCTCTATGCAAAGTATAATGCATAAAACTACATTTCACAATTTAAATAAATATTTTTCACATTCTAAATTTAGCTTTTGACAAGCTCATCTTTATTTCATGCTTTAGTTCTGAAGCAACTTTTTTGCTTCAATATAGAGGTAGATTTGATATAGATTGGGCATGTCAAGTTTACTGCCAAAATGCAATTGCCAACAGCTTTACTGCAGTTGCAGAAATTGCATGAAAAATTCAGAACCACTACCTAAAATCCTACTAAAGTTATTATTCAAGCTTAACCATTCTTGTTAAATCACATAAGCCTTTATATTAGACTTGATTACTCACAGAGTTAGTTTTCTGAACATATGAAGTACACACAAATACAAAAAAACCCAAAACCAAAAACACTGAATGAAAAGTTGTATCTAACAGAAAAGTATAACAGTGCACTGGCTGCTTCTTTAACTATGTTCTGCCAAACACATTCAAACCTCTCCTCTAACTTTGGCCATGAAGAGGAGACCCCTGAAAAGTTACAGATATTTATATTTTTGCCTTGTCTTCACTTTAATAGTTATAGCTGAAACCCTTCCATTGGTGCTTCCTGCTGCTGAAACACAAATTGCTGCTGACTCTCATCCACCTGAGGTGCAATACTGGTATCCTCTTCTTCCACACCAAAGTAATGTTCTATAAGTTCGAAAGCCTTCTGGTAGATCTCTTGGTTTTCATGTCTTTGAAGAAATTCAATTTTATCCAGTCCTAAATTTAAAAACAAACAAACAAAAAGACATGCTCTAAATCCAACAGCTCCAAAAGATTTAAAGGTGAAGTACACAGCCAGGATGAAAACAGAGTTAAGCACATAAATGTGTTTTGAATACTACCACTAAGTTGTGTGATGAATGAATCAAAGAATTAGGTTTTAATATGAAATATATTGGAACTTTCTAGTTTAAGAGAAAAACAACCCAGATTGAACCAATCTGTAAAATCACTGATATACATTAGCCCTGAGTACTCCAGGATTATTATTTTAAAAACAAGGTGCATTTCTTCTATGCCAAATACTCCCAACCGCCTGATAAGAGAATGTATCAATCATGTACTTACAGACTTAGTTTTTCTTTTACCTTTTCAGTTCAATTTGACAGTTTATAAACAATATGAAATGAACGTGAAAAAAGCAAAATAGAAGGAGGCTCAAATATCTACTTACACAGAATTAAAAAAATATTAGTATGCAATACTGATTCTGAAAGCAGGGTGATTTATGAAAAAAATCTGCCAGCGAAGCCCCCCCATATCCCTATTTCCATGTTGCAGTTCCAAAAGAACTTAGCTTCCCTCCTCCAATACT